CTAGTGCCGCCCTAAGCACACACACACACACACACACACACACACACACACACACACACACACACAAACTGTTGTGGCTGGATGCTGGCTAGTGCCGCCCTACACACACACACACACACACACACACACACACACACACACACACACAATATATGTATTGTGCCTTTTTATTTGCTCGTATTATGATGGGATTTGGTGTAATTTAGTAAATGGTTGTGTGTTGTGTGTGAAAAATGTATATCCCTAAAAAGTGTGTTGGTGTATGATCACATTTGTATTTGAAAATGTCTGAAGTTCATAAAAACATTCTCAGTGTTCAAGTCAATCACTGAAAAGGGTGACGATATCATAAGGTTCAAGGTTCTTTATTGTCAAACTAACATAGCAACAGAGTAATTATGTCGTTGAAAATCTTAGGTCCAGCATCCAACAGTGAATATAAATATAAAATCTAAGTGTTAATGATTGTCAGTAGAGATGGGATGGAAGAAGGTGCTATATATATATAATTCCAAAGCTGGTAAAGACCTTGAATCAACTTTTTCATGTAATTTTATTTCATTTTAAATAAAATGAAACATTCACAGTTAATGTAATTAGATTATACATTATTAATGCCATATATTTTTGCATACATTCACAGTAAATATTTATTCAGTATGATAGCTGTCTAACAGAAGTTAAATCCATTTCTCACTTATTCTGACAATCTACTTAACCCAAAATAAAAGAACCCAATAAAAAGAGTTGTTAAATAATAGAGAAGTCACGTTGTAATATGAAGTCACGTTGTAATAACAATAACTAATCTAACTAACTAACTAATCTCTCTCGTTCAGATTAATATTGTCGGGTGTTCTTTTTCTGCTTTGCCAAAGACCACTGTGTCAAGTGTCCCATTTGGGTTGCCGTATGGGTATGGTTCTAGGACGGGTACCAATAAATGGAGCAAGTTTCATGAATGTCACACTTTTATTTTTGTAAGATAGCAAGGGGGGGCATATTGTGATGGCCAGGCCTGTCAAAAAATGCCCCCCCCCCAAAAGAGGTTTCTATGAATCCCACCCTCAAGCATTTTTCAGGGTATGGTTCTAGGACTGGTACCAATAAATGGAGCAAGTTTCATGAATGTCACACTTTTATTTTGTAAGATAGCAAGGGGGGGCATATTGTGATGGCCAGGCCTGTCATAAACCCCCCCCCCCCCCAAAGAGGTTTCTATGAATCCCACCCTCAAGCATTTTTCAGGGTATGGTTCTAGGACTGGTACCAATAAATGGAGCAAGTTTCATGAATGTCACACTTTTATTTTGTAAGATAGCAAGGGGGGGAATATTGTGATGGCCAGGCCTGTCATAAAATGCCCCCCCCCCAAAAGAGGTTTCTATGAATCCCACCCTCAAGCATTTTTCAGGGTATGGTTCTAGGACTGGTACCAATAAATGGAGCAAGTTTCATGAATGTCACACTTTTATTTTGTACGCATAGCGATAGCGTATATAATAATATCCTGACAAAGACTATGTAACATTTGTAAACATATATTTTGATTATTAGATGACAACTATGTAACAATAATGATAAAAAAAAAGATTAAAAAAAAACAAAAACTGAAAAGGAAGTGACGAATGAATTTCGACACTTCAAATACGGAGCGAAAAGTTAAACCAGAAGAATCAAGACTATGAGCTACCACTAAACAACTCACAGTCTGAAAATTACCATTAATAAAAACCCTGAATGTTTACTTTTCGTTTTAAACATCGTTTTAAGGTGTAAACCTATGGTGTAAACGTGTCATTTAGAGGTGTAAACGTGTCATTGAGAAATGCGCGTTCCCGTGACAAGGGGGTCATTTAATGACGGGGAGGCATAATGTGACACAACACCGGAACTGGTGCACCCTCCCTCGCTCACTCGCATTTTGGCTGTGAGTTGCGGGTGCCAGATAAGCCAACATCCCCCATTTTCATCACTTACAGCACCCATCATACAGGGCAAATGAAAAGTGTAACCGGGGTGAAAAGGGTGTTACATTTACTTAATTATGAATATTGTTACATCAAGGCCGAAAATTAGGATGAGCACCAACGGTCAAAAATGTTTTTTTCCCTCCCAGAGCTGCCAGCGCAGCGCCTCCCCAGATCTGGCGCCCTAGGCGAACATCTATAACGCCAGTGCAACGTAGCAAATGCGCCTTTTTTCAAATGACCCGGTGCTCTTTTTTTGGCGGAGGTGCGCATGCGCACCTGCGCACCAGTTATGTGCAGCCCTGCCAATAATCCATTTACACAACAACCTTGAAATAAATGCTTAATATTTCCTCTTATCGTAAGCAATCTGAGCCTCCTGTTTTAAGAAATTAGCTGCTAACTCAATAAATGAAACCCCTATGGAGTGTGTGTGTTCTTACTTATTTTCATCAATATCAACCATAATTCACCTACATTTGATTGATTTTTCTAACTTCTAACCTCCAGTGAGCGGCCCAGCCCTTCCTATATTTTTCTGTATGTGGCCCTCGGTGAAAAAAGTGTTGACACCTCTGCCATAACCCAACCCCTGTTACCTCATTACCTGGGAGTAAGGCAGGCCCTGATGGAGGGAAGTTTTAAAGGTCCCATGTCATGCTTTTCCGGTTATTACCCGTCCTCTTGTGTGTTATGTAGCTTTTTCTGCATGTAAACGGTCTGCAAAGTCACAAACCCTCAAAGTACACCCTGTAGCGAGTAAAACTCTAACACAGAAAATACCTGTCTATGCTGCAGGAGCAGGACAGAGAGTGAATACACTATACAGAGATGCTGTATGAGAAAACCAATGTGATTTTGGAACATTGAACAATGTAAATATATTCTAGTAGACCTCAACAATGGAATTATGATCAGTAGAAATGGCCATGACATGGGACCTTTAAATTATCCACACGTTTCAATGTGAACAGCCTTGCGTAATTGTTGCTCTGTAATTACAACATTAATCCATTTAGTTATTGTAGATGCAACAGACTTTAGGTGGCTGTTAAGGGAGTCACCAGTTCAAAGCAAAGACCGTCTGTGTGGTAAAGGGGTTAAAGTGATTCCAGAAAAGTTGTATTGGTGTTTTTGCCTAATTCAGTAATCTAAACATTGTGGAAATGCACTGAACTGTAGACTGGCTCTGTACAGGTGGGTAGTAGGCTACACCAGACGAGACGCATTTAATCTTGGCATTCAGATGAGTGCACTTCTACATTGACATCGCGACGCAGGGCACGGCGAGTCCCGATACTCAAGCCCGCCTTAACCTGCCATCAGGCCCTGGGGCTGATGGTTTTGTAGGCCCCCTATTTAAACAACAAATCAAAGTCATTTATAGCCTCGGCAGGCTCTGTGATCGCACTTCTCCACTCTGCTCTACGCGCGCCTGATCCTCTCCTCCAGATGACTGACGTATCGGGCCTCCCTCATGTATTTGTCCGGTTGCCGTTGGCTCCCCTCCACGTAGCAAGTCCTCGTCCCCCTTCTCCATCTCCTCCAACAGATAATGTCCCTCCTGTCTGTTTTTCCTCTCCCGCTACTCCATCGCTATCAGAACCAGACGGCCTACTTGGCTCCGAGGCCCCGCGGCCGGCACCGCTGCCACTCGGTACAGAACTAATCTGTTCTTCCTCCTCATCCTGGCCTACAGGTTTAAAATAACCTGTAGGCTTCGGCATTTTTGTAATAGCTGCTTGTCTCGAAACTCCTTTTATCTCAACAATTTCCTTTTCCGAGCGCCACTCTCAAACTTTTTCTTCTCAAACTTTTTCTCCTAAACAACCTTCATCTGTCACTCAATCACTCGCAATTTGAATAAGTCACATGTGAAACATATTCTCATTCTGATTGGCTGTTAAGTGGTGCCCACTGACTGTTTCGGAGTCATCATTTTTGAGAAAAATGGAATCCATCGATCTGATTAATTAGCGGAGCAAATGATCAAAATACTACGGAGGGAAGATATTTTCGTTTGAATTACTGGTCTGGGGGAAGCTCACAAGTGTGTATACGTGTGTGTTTGTGTAATTTTGCGTTTGTGTGTATTGTGTTTGTTTCCCGGGGAAACCACTCACGAGAAACACCGGCTGTTGTTGTGCCTGCTGTGACGTCAAGTTACTCCGTTCTCCGCTTGTAATTATGCCAAAGCTTCAAAGTTGTATTTATCATCTGAATTTGCCGAAACAAGTTTAATATTCTGAAAGCCAAGACTTTGTTTATTTGAAATCAGATGAAAACAAACTGTAAGGGACCCTGCTGTGTTATCTATGATTACTATACGCTTACATTCATAATTTCAGCGGAGGGAGGGGAACAGCAGAGTGGCGAGGGAGAGCTGTCTTCTTCCCTTTACTAGCTTAAAAAATGTATTTATCGTGTGATTTTGGAAATAAAAGTTTCATATTCTGAAAGCCAAGACTTTGTTTATTTAAATTTTTTTTAAAAACATCGGAAATACAATTTTTTTAAAAAAAATGTTAAATATTTTTTTTATTTTGTATTGGCTCATGATAGGCCCCCGATCTCCGTAGGCCCCTGGGCTTCAGCCCAGGTCAGCCCGTGCATTAAGGCGGCCCTGCCGATACTGGCGAGGAAATAACCTCAGTGAGCCCCGAAAGACCACTGGACAAACACGATAAGATCCTCTAGGCAGCGTAAAAGCAGTGTAAATTCTGCCTAAATGCGCCTGGAGGTGTATAACACTGATACCACGGACAATGTGTGCCGTTTTTATGATATTTTCTGCAGTATTATTTTGCTTTGGCCAGTAATTTTGTTGGACACTTTTAGCTGATGGGAGAAACAGTCAAAATGGAGATGTTTATCCATTAATTGACAATACTTTTCAAACTTAAACCACAACAAAATAATACACCGACATAATCTTGATATTCTTTTTTTAAATGGAGATTTGGAGGGTGGGGGGGGGGGGCAGCGCTGTCCTCGCTAAGAGAAAGAAGAGCAGCTCTAGTGGTGCGTATACGGATCATACCTGGAATACTGCCGCATGTCATTTTGAAAGGAAGAGGACTAAAGCAACAGCTGCTGTGACTGCAGTAGAAATACACTCAGTTAAATCACTGTCAGCTCCACTTCCACTTCTAATTGCAGGTAAGCTATATTTTTTATCTGCCTCTAATACTGGTTAGCCTACATTTAGATGTGTTCCTTTTTTTCCTTCTCTTTATTGGAAATAATTAGGCGAGGCAAGGGGGCTTAAAGGAACCGTGAGAAAATGAAAGAGAAGGTTAGAAGTTCAGCAAATATGTGCACTTCAGCCTAAAAAGCGTATTTTTTCCTCACCTGTGCTGCATGTATTTCCTGAAACCTACGTTTATTATCCTTTAGAAGATACTTTGTTTTTCTACTTTTATGCATGAAAACAACAGGCATTTGTGTTGGGTTGGAAAAATCTGTTATCTCAAATATTAACAGATGGAAATTAAAACATAATAAAAGCTATAAAAGGGGGACAAGGTACTCGATGGTGAGGACTGAATCAAGGTTAAATGCTGATTCAAGGTTATGTATTTAGAGGAAGTGCCATTATTCTCATGTTTTTGTGATCACTTTTCATGCTTATAAATATAATGGAAGCTAAAAAAAGAAAATAATGTTTGGTCATTTTATCCCCGTTAAAGTGGCATGTGACAGAACTGTTTTAATAATGCATAACCATGGTAGCTTACATGTGCCATTAGGCTGCCAGCACCTACACCTTTATAGCGTGTTTGAAATACCAGCATAGAAAATGTGGACAAATAATTCCTTCTTCTTTTTTATTTTTAAGTTCCAGTTGGAGATGCAGATGGAGAAGAAAGACACCGTGTTGGAGTAGCTGGTTTATTGCCTTTAGTTTGTGCTTCGCGTCAGTCCGACTCCGGTGGTAATTATGTTCCACCAGCTGAAGGATCCAGCTGTGAATGGCAGCTGCCTCGAACCCTCGTCAGCCTGCAATACGAGCGCTGATGGTTACGCACTCCAGCTGCCCACTTTCACCACCGCGGCCAAAGTCAGAGTAATCATCACTTTCACTTTGTGCGCAGTGTCAGCTGTGTGCAACTTGGTCGTGCTGTGGGCTTCCTTTAACGGAGGCAAGCGCAAGTCGCACGTCAGGATCCTGATAATGCACCTGACGGTGGCGGACCTGCTGGTGACTTTCATCGTGATGCCTGTGGACGCGGTGTGGAACATCACTGTGCAGTGGCAGGCGGGAGATTTCCTCTGCAGGCTGCTGATGTTCATGAAACTGGTGGCGATGTACTCCTGCGCCTTTGTAACTGTTGTCATTAGCTTGGATAGACAGTCTGCCATTCTCAATCCTTTGGGCATCAGTGAGGCGAAAAGGAAAAGCAAAATCATGTTGACTGTGGCCTGGACGATGAGTGTAATCCTCTCACTCCCTCAGGTAAGAATAACACATAAAGCACACAGGAAACATGGAAAACACACACCCACAAAAAACCCTCGCAGACTGCACTCATATGAAGCTTCTAGTTGTGTAGGCCTATAAAAGCTTATATAAACACTGCCAATTGTATATCCTGCAGTGAATCCATCTTGTTAGTTTGCTGAAAATCAAGGTGAAGGTTAATTAAATAATTGGTTATGTCTACAGGAAACATGATGAAAGGAGGGGTTACGTATGGTAACCCTTTTTATATAGAGGTGGAGCCCTCTCCTGGACTCTATGGGTACTACCCAGTGGCGTCGCCTGGCCTGGGCCACTGTAGCGCCGCCACTGTGGGCTAAGCCCCGAATGTACAATTTCAGGTCCAGGCGACGCCCCTGGTACTACCCCTTGATCATATCATGCAAGCATTCATCCACTGAGACTTCCATAAACGTAGCTGGCCCCGGGGCGGGCCTACCTGAATACGCGCGCATTTCACCGTATAAAAGGAGGCCTCGCCTCCTGACTGTCATCCTACACCTCTCTTCAGCGAGTGGCATAGGCAGTGGCGTTTCTAGGTGTACAAAACTGGGGGGGCAGAAAGAGGTCGGGGGAGAGAGAGAGAGAGAGAGGGGGGACAGAGAGAGGGAGGAGAGAGAGAGGGGGGACAGAGAGAGGGGGGGGAGGAGAGAGAGAGGGGGAGTGTCAAATTACATACTGAAGACCACAGGAGCAACACTGTGAGCGCATACATTTACGTACACAGCGTGGGGATGTCATAGTAATGCACCTTCATACATGGAGTAAAGGTCACCATCACAAAGTAATTTTTAACAATAACAACAACCGTAATGCTTTAGCATTAAAACACCATAGACTGTAAATATAAGGAAAACACAGACACTTATCATCGAGGTCACAATATCAATCGATCCAGCAGAGGCAAAACACAGAAGATCAACAAAATATATGACATAAATGAACTTACCAAAGCTGAAGGCTCACTTGAAAAGAAAAGCGGCATGGCGGTCCTTCCTCTGACAGAATGTGTCTATCACTTTGGGGATGAAGTCCTGTAGTTGCTGGATCAACTGGCTTTCAATTGAAAGCATGGCCAATGCGTTAAGTCGCGGCTGTCCCATGGTGTTGCGAGTGAAAGTCTTTATCCTTTTGAGGGTGGAAAAGTTCCTCTCTGACTCGGATGTCGTCATCGGAGTTGTCACTATTATTTTGACCAAAATAACAGTCTCAGCAAACGTTTCCTCCAAGTTGTTCTCGTGAATGGATTTCAACAGAGACAGGGCAGTGTTTCCAGTGTGAAGCTCACTGTGGCGGTAGAGCGTGGTTAGCTCAGACTTCAACTTCTCCTTGTTTCCCAACGCAGGCCACAGTTTCACGGCGCAGTCAAGCTCAGGTGTAGGAAATGACAGGACATGCTGTGGGAAGAATGAGCTGTCAACAAGCTTTGCAGCGATCAAATGGTCACTCTGTGAGAACCTCTGTTCCACCTGTGAGATGACTGTGTCACAAGCCTCCTTCATCACCGGCGCTGTGCTGCTGACTCGTCGGCCTGGCTCGTCTGTTCCATCATGAGCAGTGGCGGCCAATGCATCAGTTTTCTGCCTCATTTTCTGAACATTTTCCTTGAAACGGCAGAGCGCGCTGTTGATCCCAGGTGCATCGATGCTTCGTTTTTGCAGAGTGTTGTATAGAACATCCACTTCTGGCATAAGCAACGAAAAAAACTCCAGGAGCTGCATAAATGCTCGGTCCCGCAGTTTCTTTGACAGGCCGTATGCCTCACTTATGGTGACCGCATCCCATCCTGGTTGTGCGCCTATATGCTTCATACACTGAAGTAGTGCATCTCGGGTCTCCCAAACCGCGTTCACAGTTCTGCTTTTAAAGTTCCATCTCACAGCCGGTGGCCGTGGGATGCGTCTCTGTGTTGCCTCTGCAAGAGTTGCAACACGTTTTGGAGCACCGGAGAAAAAAGTGGAAAAAGCAGTTATATCTGCAAAAAACACCTTCAGGATGCTCATCCTTGCTGAACACAGTTGCTGCAGGGTCAGGTTCAGTTGGTGGGCGTAGCAGTGAACAAACTGAGCGTTTGGGTACGTCTCCTTCATCACCGTCTGTACCCCGCGCACGTTACCGCTCATGACGGCCGCCCCGTCATAGGTCTGAGCGATTAGCTTTTCTTTCAGCTTCAGGGGTTCCAGAACAGCCTTGATGCTGTTAGAGAGACCTACACCAGTTTTGTCCTTTACTTCCACAAACTCCAAAAAACGCTCTGTAACTGTGAGGTCAGGCATAATGTATCGCAGCACAATCACCATTTGCGATTTACAGGAGACATCGGTTGTCTCGTCGGCCTGAACGGCAACAAATGATGTGTTGTCCACTTGCTTGGCTATTTCCTCCCTGTACACATCATACATGCAGTCCAAGAGTTCATTCTGTATGGTGCTTGATGTCCCTTTGAAAACAAGCTGAGCTTCGTAGTGCCGTTGAAGCCTGGAATCGCCCTCACACATTGTCTCGAAAATTGACCTGAATATCCCTGGATTCAGAGAGTCCGCCGACTCAACCCTGTCTCCTAAAAATTACGTTCCCACATAACTAAACTGCATTCTCAATTACGTTTAGCTAGAAACGTATTTTCTCCCACGTTACGTTCGTTATGAACGTATCTTAAATACGTTTATTTTCTACATATCTTCTAGAAACGTATTTTCTCCCACGTTACGTTCGTTATGAACGTATCTTAAATACGTTTATTTTCTACATATCTTCTAGAAACGTATTTTCTCCCACGTTACGTTCCTTATGAACGTATCTAAAATACGTTTATTTTCTACATATCTTTGCCATTTATTGTCTTGCTTATAATAATGATAATAGTCATTTATAAATATCATTTTAGAGCACACCTTTGAAATCGAGAATCGGGCTCGATATATGTTTACATTAAAATCAGTAGGCGAGGCTGTAATTTCGCCAGCTGTTACTCTCATGAGCGAGGCAGAAAATAATAGTTTTAACATGACAAAAAGCTGCTGTGTCGTGTACCTCAAACATTAAAACAAATCCAGAGTTACGTGTTTCTGTACTTCCTCTAAGAAGAAAATACAGTAAAAGAAGAGCTCTGTGGCTTCAGGCTTGATCGCCGTTCAAATGACAGCGTTGGTTTCCCCAAAAGTGGGCGGGGCTGTAAAGTGACGTAGATTTTACTATCATCTATTATTCAAAACCATTCTATTTATTCTAACGTAAATTACATGCCAGTGTTTTATCTTTTTATTTATTTGTTTTTATTTTAAATCGTATAATGTCGGACTTTTTTCCCGTCTGTGAGGAAAATAAATGGGGTTTAGAGCCTCAAAATACTGAAATCTGTATTTTTTCAAATCTTTTCCTTCTAATTTGTTATTCTTTTCTAAATAACACACTGTTATTTACTCAACCATAACACACAATTATCCTTGTTTTTATTTATTCGTTTAATTCTATAATCTTGGGCTTTTTAGCCGTAAATAAAGTCACCGGAAACAGACGGGACATTTCGAGCGATACACACCACAAACCCACCGAACTGATTACCCAAGATCCTCAGCTTGAAGCTCGTTGATTGGATGCTTTAGCCGCAATAAACGCTGGGATATGGTGTTAATAAGTTGTGATATCCGAAAACGAAAAATAAAATAATACCTAATTCAGAGTGTTCTTGCTTGTCTCTTTGGAAGTCATCACATAACGGCATTGTAATACACGGTTCGGCTGCATTAAATATTATACATCTGCCGTAGTTCTTTATTTATAGAGCCCTGATGAGAAGACTTCTAGACAAACATGAGGAACTGCCGCCAAAACTGAATACTTGATGTGGATCATAAATATATCAACAATTAAACAACATCTTCAATTTATTTTCACAAAATACGTCTCCTTGCAGTATCAATAGTAATTCGGCTGACTTTTATATTTGATCCAATTGGTAGATAATAGGTTATATTTGCACCATAACGGTGCACAGCTGATAGAAAAGGACTTGTAGTTTTTAAAGATATTACTGATTTTCTTTGAATATAAGAATGTAAATACTGAGTTGAGAGAATAGTCAGGGGATTTGGGTGATGGGAGACACATCTATGGATTCAGAATTTCAATAGCGTACCATTAAATGACGGATATACCTTTCTGTCTGTGATGTTTTACAAATCAGATATTAATGTGTAGAAGTAAAACATGTGAAATAATATAGCAATATCCTGTAAAATTATGTAAAAACATGAATAAAACTACACATCTTCAGATGTTATACATACATAAGTGTTCTACACTAATAATACAAAGTTATTATTAGTATGCTGTGTGTACCTTGTGTGCACTGCCTAGTGGTTAAAGCACGTTATTGAATTATTTTTGTTGAATAATGTTATTTGATGAAAACAATATTAAGAGTACATACTTTCATAGGGGGAAAGTAGAAGGTCAATGATAGAAATATAGAATATAAAAAGTCAAGAAGATACTATAAGTGATCTCTACAATAAAACAGTTTAGTGCCGGATGTACAAAGATATTAATAGGAGGATGTGCAAAACAGAAAAACGAATTAACCTTTATTAACACATTAAAGAATACTTTAGGTTAAGGTCTTATTTTAAACAAGAAAAAAGCTTTGGAGGTATCTATCTACCGATGAATATTAAGCCTGACAAAGTACTTAACGTCTAATATATTGCTTTCCTGCAATGTTAACTATGTTGAAGCACTTCTTTTAACTGATATTATACACATTAATTATACTCTTATGTATGTAGATAGTATAAGAAATGTGCAGAATATGACAGTTTAATGGTGGAGGTACACACATATTGATAGATGTCTTGTAATGCGCTGTTGAGGAACCTGCGACCCAAGTTGTGTATATGATCAATAAACCTTAGAAAATCTTGAAATCTTGAAAGGGATGTGCAAAATAGCCATTATACAGTTTTTAATTAACTATT